TGATTGACAAGCTATAATATATTTAACTTAATTAATTTTACATGTGTTGCCCTTGTGCATATTTTGCTTTTCCAGGTTTCGTTTAGGTTTTTGATTTGTATATTGTGTATATTTCAGATATATTTAATGGTTTGGTTTTAATTGATTTGTGTAATATTTGTGTAATTTTTGTATTTTATAGGAAAAAAATATATATAATATATATCGGATATATGTACTTTTCTCTAGTGCCAAGTGCACCCTGCTCACAGTCACTGCTCCCTGCTCTCAGTCACTGCTCCTGCTCTCAGTCACTGTTCCCTGCTCTCAGTCACTGCTCCCTGCTCTCAGTCACTGTTCCCTGCTCTCAGTCACTGTTCCCTGCTCTCATTTACAGTGCTTCCCAGCCACAAATACTCTGCCACTCATCGCACTTCTTGCGGCAGACAGAGGGACAGACAGACAGACAGACGGACGAGAGTTCCTTTTGGACTGTTCTCAAGCGATAAATAAAGTTGTGAACATTGGCTCGATTTGTTTGGTAGGTGCACGGTGCTCGGTCCAGGGTGCTCGGTTGTACGGGGTGTACGGGGTGTGTGGTTCGGTGGTGCTTTATAACTGCCGCCGCCGCAGCTTGCCGCTGCCGCCTCGCGCACACCGGACAGATCCGATTCGATCCATGGCCTGGTCATGTCGTTCGTTGCACTGCGTCGGACACAAAAGATTTACGATTATGGCGCGACTATTAAAAAGTTTCGCCTCTCGCACACCTCCTCCTCCCCCTGCTGCTGCTCCCAGCCACAGCTACAGCGTGGCCCGCCCCGCCCCTCTCTGCCTCTTCATCTCTCACTCAAGCCCACATTCAAAGTCAAAATATTGTGTAAAAAAAAAAAAAAGAGAAAAAAGAGTCGCCGGGCAAAAGGCTTTTGCAGCCGGCTTCGGCATCGGCATCGGCTTCGGTTTGGCTCTCTGGATCGATTAATTATGTGCGGAATTTGGTTTATTGAGTACGAACCGCCTTTAAATTGTCTAAAAGACCCAGAGAGCTGTCAGGGCATGTTCATTCGTTGGCCCGTTCGCTCCTCCATGGGGTTTGGCGATCGGATCGGCTCGGCTCGTATCGTATCGTATCGGATACAAACGGGTTTCAACGGCTGACTACGGTTTGTTATTTATGAGTTTAACTATAATTTTGAACATTTACGCTGCGCCTGCGTGCGCTTGCAATATGACAATTTTACTCTGAATATACGAGCATAAATACTCTATCCAAAAACGGGGGACACACAGACAGGCAGGACAGACAGGACAGGCAGGGGACAGAGTACTGTACAGAAGGGTGTGCAGCAGCAGCAGGGAGTCCCAAAGAGAGCCAGAGAACAGGTCACCAGACGGGTGGTGGTGGCGAGTGTATTTGGACTTTATGCGGACAGCTGGTCAATTGAGTTGGTCTGGTCCCCAATGTGCCCGTCCCCCGTGCCCGTCCCATTCCGTGCCCGTCCCGTCGTTGTCGTTGTCGGCGGCTTGGACTTGGGCTTGTTGTCGTGTGTGTTGGCGGGGCAACCATTTTGTTGTTTTCGATTAGACTGTTAAGTTGTCAAGTTTGAAATTGATTTGTAGCCACTGCCGCCACACAGCCCCCCAGTTGGGTGCTCCCCCAGGCGGCAGGGCGGCAGGGGGGGGGGACTGGCATTTTAAATTGGTTTAAATTAATGTTACACAAGGTGTTGCTCTCGATGTGGCCATAAACGCTCGCTCGGTCAAGCTCCTCCATCCAAGCTGGATTGCTAATGCCTGATGCCTGATGCCTGATGCTGATCGTAAATCGATCTACGGCTAACCATGTGTTAGCCTCTGTTCACCCTCCCCGCCGTCTCTCTGCCCCAGATGCCAATCCCGGGAGGTGTTATGACTGCTGTTAGATGCCGCGGATTAGCCACAGCTTTTTGTACAAATGTCAAATGGCTTTTAATCGGATCTTATTGGCTGGATTGCGGATCTTTGTTGTGTATTTTGCATTGTGTAAATTATATATTAAATAAATATTGCAGATTTTTATATTGGGGGTGTATCAAACTTTATGAAACCGAGGGACTTGCCTACGGGTTTCTGCTAGGATCAAAGTGAGGTGCAAACAAAGTTTTTCCTTTTTAAATTTCAATCAATTTATTTTTATTTATTTTCTTAAATTTCGCATAGAAAATATCCCTTCAAAGCATTATAAGTGCCACTTAAACAATCAAAAGAAACCAAAATAGGCAAGTTATCCTTTTTCCTTTTTAAATTTAAACCAATTTATTTTTATTTATTTTCTTAATTTTCCCATAGAAAATCTCCTTCAAACCATTCTAAATGCCACTTAAACAAGCGAAAAAAAAAACAAAATAAGCAAAGTTATCATTTTTGAATTTAAACTAATTTATTTTCTTAATTTTCGTATAGAAAATCTCAACCAGTTTAAATACATTTATCTTTTGTAAATTTAAACCTATTTATTTTCTTAGTTTTCCCATAGAAAATCTCCCTTCAAACCATTCTAAATGCCACTTAAACAATCAAAATAGGCCAGTAAAAATACATATTTTATAATTGTTATTATATTATCATTATTATTATTATAATTATACATAATTATTTGCAGTTTAAAAAGTAACAAACGTAAAACTTTATAGATCCAAATAAAGGCAGTAGCAGCAGCAGCAGCCACTGTCTGCCAGTTCCACGTTTTGTTCTAGCCCTAAGACGATGAGCTATAACGTTGCTCCTGCAGCTGCTGCAAGTGTAGACCCAGTCGATAACGATTCAGTGGCGCTGCCTCGTCGTAGCTGCGCGTAGTGATGAAGCTCTCCAATTGTCCTGCCTTTGGCAGTGGAATCCTTTCGGCGGCACTTGTAAAATTCTTAAAGACTTTTCGCAGTGCCAGGCCATAGACGAAGCCAACTATTACGGCCAGCACAAAGAATACTCTCAGCCAATGCATTTTGTTAGCCCAAAAAATGAGACTCTTTTTCTTTCTGCAGCTTTGTGACTTTTTACTTTTATTTTTGTTTGCATATTTTTTTTTGACAGCTAACACTTGGCTGGACTGACACTTGGCTTTAATCATTTCGGACTGCATCAGATCGAACATGAACCAAGTGCTTAATCGCCCTAATGAGCAGCCAGCCATGAGTGGCAGGTGGGGGCATGAGATTTGTGGAGTGAAGTGAAGTGCTGCTCTTAAGCACCGCAAAAGCCCGCTACTAAGTGTCATTGTCTTATCAAATATTTCGATGCGATTCGATTCGATTCGTTTCGGGGGTTTCTATTTCGAGTAATCGCGATTGCGACATTCATCGGACATCCAACTGACTAATCATTTTTCAAAATCCATTCCGATTACACACAAGCACACACACACACACACACATAGACACAGTCCAACGTCATCATCATCGTCTAATCCACTAACATTTCCAGCTCACTGAGCTGCAGATTTGCCACGAAGCAGCAAGGAAAAGGAGCAGGCGGCGGCTGGTATTTGGATGCGTCTCTCCCGCTCTCCCTCTCCTCTCCCTCTGTCTCTTTCTGTCTGTGTGGATTGGCGTTCCAATCGGCGCTTCAAAGGAGCGTGCGACATCTTTGACGGCAACGGATTTGTGCCTGTGCCACACCCCGCTACAAAAACGAAGGGGCACGAAACCAGGGGGTACATGTGTGTGTCGGCCGCGACTATAATCTGACATTTAATTAATAATAAAGTTGACAGTTTGTTTTGAGTGACTGTGACAGTTTTAATTGAGATTTGTATTCGTAATGAATGCCCTGCCCTGCCCTGTCCCTGCCTTGCCCTGCCATGCACCATCAACCAAGTGAAGTGGAGCTTATGGATTTCAGCATGTCTCTTAGGGATCTTTCAGCCTGGCTGTCTGTCTGTCTGTCATTTATCGAAGCTACTGTATGCAGAATGGAAAGATTTTTCTATTGATGTGCCCCCTCCCCTTTGTGGAATTTTGAAGTTTGAAAAGAGTTGAGCTGACAACTAAAGGGGGATGAAGGTAATTTCAGGGAAAAGATATACAAAAATTTAAGAAGGAATTTAAGATATTTCTTTATAAAATTATATCTGAGAAATTTGAAATAAATTAACTGGCAAGCAATTGGAATTCAATGAACCAATGAACCAATTCGGTTGGAACTAGTTCCCCCCATAGAATGTTGAACTATTGAAGAAAGAACTAGTAAGTTTATTATTATTTGTATTAATATTTGTATTATTATTTTTATTATAATTTTTATAATTATTTATATTATTATTTGTATTATTATTTGTATTATTATTTTTATTATTATTTGTATTAAATTTTGTATTCTAATTTGTATTATAATTTGAATTATTATTTGTATAATTATTTATATTATTATTTGTTAAATGTTGAACTATTGAAGAAAGAACTAGGAAGTTTATTATTATTATTATTTGTATTAATATTTGTTTTATTATTTGTATTAATATTTGTATTATTATTTGTATTATTATTTGTATAATTATTTATATTATTGTATTATTTGTGATTATAATTTATTTATTATTATAATAATTTATATTATTTTTATATTATTTGCATTAATTTGTATTATTATTTGTATTATTATTTATATTATTATTTGTTGAATGTTTTATACTATTGTTATTAAGGAGTTATTTTTATTATTATTTGTATAATTATTTATATTATTATTTGTATTAATTTATTATATATTATTATTTGTATTAATAATTTGTATTATAATTTGTATTATTATTTGTATTAATTATTTTATATTATTATTTGTATTATTATTTGTATTATTATTTCGTTATTATTTATTTTATAATTTGTATTATTGTACTGTGTTCTTTGAAACCGATTTTTGGCAGAGAACTAGCAATAGCAACAATTTTTTTTTTTTTTTAGCCTAATAATATTACAGAGAAAAAAAACGAAAACACAACATATGTAGCATGCTGTTACTTAGGGGAAGCAACTTATACTATGTTTGGCACATAGAGTGCTTTTTTTTCTACCTGTCTAGTTCATAACAGGATATTCCTGAGTGTTCACAGTTCGTCGCGCGCTGCCCGAGATACAACACGGAAACAAAATTTCAGGTAAATTAATTAAAAAAAAAAAAATAAATAAAAATTTTAATTTAAATTTCACCACTTTTGCTGGGCGATGTCCCGCAACTCCATCCACTCGAGCGTAGCCGGAGGGAGGCATCTGCTCGAATATGCCGTACAGTCGCCGCTGGCTGATGCACGCGCTCAGTTGGCTCATGTAGCTATTGCGGATCTCTCTGTCGAGCACCGTGTGGCACTGCATAGCGACCATGTTTGTCTAGCCACAGCATGGCCAGGCGGTACTCCTGCGAGCCAGTATCGAAGGCCTCTTCCGGTTGCGGCGAGTCCTCCACTATATTTAAGAAATCTCTGAACAGCATATTCGTCTTATCTTCGGTGCAAGTGCGACTGCGAGATGCTACTCCATATTTGTAAACTATAAAATGTATTCTATTGGCCACACAAAATAGAAAGCAAGTTCCAGCTAGACTCACGTTAATTGGAATCAAAGATATGTGTACGTATAGCTATATTTCTCTGAATTAATTACTAATTTCCCATGAACCCATTTCAGCACAAAAAAAAATAAAAAATCCTGCTCACACTCCCACACGTACATATCTACGTTTCTCAACCACTTGATGCGTGATTCGGTCAGCGATAAATGACCATCGCTAACGCTATACCCCCAGCTTTGATCTTCAAGTGCTCTCACACCCTGGGCTGCCTTTCACAGGCAGAGAGTCAGCCGGCAGGGCATTCAAAATAACTGGAATATCGGAAACGAAATTTCAAGAGAGTCAAAGAGGCAGGAGGGCACCCACCAACACCCACCAGCACGTCAACGACATGCCACTCAAAAAAGTCAAACCACTTAAGTGCCTTCCAGCCGACAAAAATAAAATGAAGTGAAATGAAATGAAATGAGCTTTTCGGGTTGCCCGTTTGAGAGGCGATTAGCGCACAACACACACAGAAGTGTCATGTTTGGATGATCATCCACTGGGGGGGGGGGCTGTTGGGGTCTTATTGCCGGCAATCAAATGTTTGTACAAAGCCAAAGCCGGGGCGGGGGCACTTGCGATAGACACGCGTAAAAACGCTCCGCCAAATGGCATTTCAATTGAGTCATTAAGCTGAGCAGCTACCCAGCTACCCAGCTCTCCAAGCCCCCCACCCGTTACGAATCGCTGATCTGCCGATAATTGAGTTTTATGATTGACACGACAACTTTGCTTTTTAAATTGACATAAATTTCAATGAGAGGCGATTGGGGAAAGGGAAAAACACACAACGCGCGAGTTAAACGAACCAAAATGCGAATTGTCTGGCTGTTGTCTCTTTTCCGACTATCTCTATCTGTGTATCTGTGTATCTCTCTATCTCGCTGTGTCTCTGCATCTGCTGTCCCTGCGATAAATTGTGCAATAAATTTCAATTACAGTTATTTTGCCGGCAAAACTCACATAGAAATTCGCCACATACTCGTACAAGCCCCCCCGACCGGCGACCCCCCAAACACCAAGTCCACATAAACTATTTAAGTGAACAAAAAAAAAACCAGGAAGATTATTTTATAGTATACGAAGTTAAAGATACCCTGGAGGATTTTTGTACGGGGTATTAAATATTTTAGACTGTTTTAATAATGGCTAATGGAATTATGGATATTCCCATGTCTAGCCTAAGGCTTCCTTCCAGTCAGTCAGCCCCTTAGCCACCCTCCTTCACATAAAGGGTATGCAACAGAAATGAATGTTGGCGGGGAGGGGCAAAAAAAAAAACGAAGGCGAAACAAGAAATATGCGCGACACACAAATTGTGATAAATTTTATGTTAAAGTGCATGAAATTATATGGCGACACATTTGGGCACTCATAAATTTTATTTAAACAATTTACAATTGTCATTCGAGAATTGCTTGTCGCAATTGTTGCTGTTGTTGCCCCATTGCCTGCCCCATTGCCGCTGCCGCTGCTGCTGTGGCAGGCAGTCACGGAATGGACTGGACTGGACTGGACTGAACTGCTGGACTCTGACTATGAATAGTGGTTATTGGTGTGGCTTTCTGGCTCTGGTTCTCTGGCTCTCTCTCTGGCCTGCACATTATTTATGTTTTATTGTCAGATGGAGGTTATTATATGGCCATATTGAAGCACGTTAGCACCATAAATATAAAGCTCAATGATATGGAAGCTTGCATCGAATGCAATGAAAAACTACAACAAAACAAATGAATGACTGATATTTTTGATTGAAAATTGAAGGTTGAGGCGGTTAGGCAAATGCAGATGTAGCGTCATTTAGGGAGGGCTGGGCTATACAGGAGTGGCTAGAATTGTTGTAGATTTATTAGAGATGGATTTTTGAAGGTTTTCTGGCGCTGTTGGGCAGGTTGATGACTGCACTAAGTCGAAGATTTTTACGCGCGAATTTCAAGTTGAAATGAAGCCCAGCCCGAGGGCTGCTGCTGCATGATTTATTTAGTGATGATTTAGGGATGGATTTTTGAAGGTTTTCTGGAGCTGTTGGGCAGGTTGATGATATTTTTTTTAGACTGCACTAAGCCGAAGATTTTTACGCGCGAATTTCAAGTAGAAACGAAGCCCAGGCCGAGTGCTGCTGCTGCATGACGCGTGACACGATATTCTATGATTTTTATTTCGAATTTTAACTGATGAGTTATGATTCCATGTTAACATTTTGGGCACACTGAAATATTCTGTGTGTGAATTTTGCAAATTTTATTTTATTTAGCTTTGCCAAAAAAAAAATATAAATATTCAAAAACTAGTTATTTGTGGGAATCCAATTCCATCCATGCTGATTCCAATCTGTAATATGAATAATTGATTTGGCAAACAAAGGCAAACCAAAAACCAAAACCAAAAATTGATTTGATGCAACTGCAAAACAGTTCACATAAAATAACAAAAAATATTCAATAATCAAAAATACAAAATTTTCATCCAGACAAAAACCAAATATCTACCTTTTTGTGCAGTTCACTGTAGGAGCGGTGGGGTGGTGAGTGGAGGGGAGTGGAGTGTGGCCATAACAGAAAAACCTTTCAAATTTTGCAACGCAATATGTCAATTACTTTCAACAAGGCTGCCAACTGTGTCCAGCGCAGACACACACACACACAGCACACACACACAGCAGACACACTTACACACACACAGCACACACACAACACACACTTACAGCACACACACTCACGAGTCTTTCTGTCGGTCTGAAATGAATGAAAAATGAATTTAATTGCCCTATGTTGGGTGTCAACAATTTTTTGAAATGGGTTCTCGGCCCGCTCGCATTTTGTTGTTTGTATCTCGCCGACATGGGGCAAAAGCACAATCCATACCGCCCCCGGGGGGAGAGTCGCTCGTCGTCGGTTGGCAGCCGCTTTTATGACAGTAACAGCAGTAAAAACTTTGACCTCCGCTCCGACCAGACCAGACCCAACATTTGACCCACATCATCATCATCATCGGACGAACGGACGGACGCAGGCTTCATCGAACGAAACGAAACGTAAAGTAAAGTATATATTCGTATGATTTTCGTATGAATGCTCAAATAACATTTCACATTCCTCTTTGTTCGAATCGGTCAATTTCAAAAAAGGCAAACATTCTGCCGCATCGTCTGGTTCTGGCACTGGCACTGGCCCTGGAACTGGGATTCCAAACTCAGAGACGGACTAAAAAGCAACCGCCCCAGCCCACCCCACACCCCATTTGTCCGTTGCAGGCGCAACCGCAAAGAGCAACATAATGAAAAGTGTTTGGTCATTTATTGTTTAAATGTCTGACAGCATGTTGACAGCCAAATGCCAAAGTAAGTTGTCAGTGGCACTGCCAGTACCCATGGCAGCAGCAGCAGCAGCAGGCGATATTCCAGACCACGAGATGGGGCCATGCCATTGCCATGTCTGGCAATGTCAGTTGGACTGGCAGCAGCCAGAGGAGCGAGTAAAAGAGAGAGAGAGAGAGAACTTTGAGTGGGTCTACACTACGTCAAACCATTCCATGCGCTCCACCAACCCACTCCAACTTTTGATTGCAGAAAACTTTCGCAGCAGCAGCAGCAGCGAGTTGCGGGGTTTTCGCCTTCATCTTCTGCTTCTGCGGGGCCCCCAGTGCCAAAGTGCAGGCGACATTTGCTTTGATGTTCTCATTTGATTGACTTGCGGGTCGGCGTCTGCCCCATTTGCCGCTCTGCCCCTTTGCCCGGCTGCAGCGGAGTTTTGAAATGTGAAATGAACGACGGGGCCCCGACGAAGGGTTAATTAAGTTGCCAAATCAAATGCATATTACGAACGCCAGCCAATGGAAAATCATTTTGCAACAAGAGTGGAGCATGCCCCCCCCCCCAATCCCTTAAGTTTTGCTAAAGTTGCTGGAAGATTCTGTTGAAGAAAGTTGAGTGTAGATAAAATATTTAATATTTATTAACAGTTATAAAAGTAGAGCCGCGGCAACTGCAGCGGCTCACAACGTGCCCGCCCGCTCGTTAATGTTTATTTTAATATCTCTTTTGGCCTATGCTTGCCATTAACATTGATCACTTTCCCAGCTATTTGTAGTTGCTTTAATTACCTTTGTTAATTTCTGGCATTTACAACTGCCAAACTAAATGTTTAATTTATGTACAATGTTCCCCGCTCTATTTTAAAAACTTTCCCCCAGAATGGAAAACATTTGGCTTATTGTCTCACTCACCGCATCCATAAATATCTATATCCATGGCATCGCATCGATTTATCGCCCTTGTGGCACTGTCAGTGTCAGTTCCCGTCCTTGGGGCATTAAGTGCGTTTGCGAGGCCCATTAATGGACTCTAAACACGTTGTTGGAATTCTTTTTCTTTCCGAACCGTACAAATTGCTTCACACACATTAAGGAAACATTTTGGAATGGCTTTCTCTTTTTCTCTTTTTCGGGGAAACGAAGATCCATCCCTATGGCACGCCCGCCCTTAGCACACAGTGGACAGGAGAGACGAGACGAGTGTCGCCCACGACTGACTCTGGGGTCCTCTGCCAGGCACCCACTCACCCTCTCCCTCTCTCTCTCTCTCTCTCTGTGTGTGTGTTGCCGGGACTCCTCGTTGGCCATAAATTCTGTTTTATTTATGAGCATTTAATTTTTGTAACATTAATTTAAACATAACTGCCAAAACATAAATTAGCTTCCGTTTCAACTAATTATGCCACTCCGCTCCGGCTTCGGCTTCGGCTCCGCTCCAGCACCGCTCCGGCTCCCTTCCCTTGGTCCCTTCGCTTGGGTATTCGTGGCAATCGCTCAAGCATGAAAATTGTTGACTGCACAAAAGGCAACATCACACAGCCCCCCGCCCACACAGCCACAGGCCCATGGCCCATAAACCGCATAAATTTAAATGTATCCCCGAGTACCTCTCTCTCGCCCTCTCTATTACATTCTCTTTCCCTCTCATTTGTGGGGGGCTTGTGTGAGCGCCACGTTTTATCTTTGCCTTTTCTGGGTGGATGGAGGGAGGGATCGCTGGATAGTTTTGTCCGTTGGTGTGGGGTGCGGGCGGGGAGTTCTTTAAGTGCCGTTACACATGCAGCTCCAGCTCCATATCCATCGCATGCATATAAATTTTGATCTGTTGTGCCGGCTGCCCTTTTGAACTGCCTTCAAATTAGTTGTTCATTCAAGCAATTAACCAAAAAATGGGGAAGCAGCCGCAGACCCCAGGGCTGGCTGGCTGGCTAGCAGGAATGTGCCCAGAAATGTGGCTACAAAATATGTTATCTGTTTTTTATTTATTTCTAAAATCCTTTCAAGTTATTTAAACCATCAGAATTAGAACCACAAAGCACATAAATTAAATCAAACATAAAAACATTAATAAGCCCATAAAAACTTTTGAGTTTGGCCTTTTTTG